TGAATAAAGGCTGATAGTTTCGAAAGAAACTGTTTGGGGCTGCGTCGGTGGGAGTAACGAAATAATTTGGATATATCAACAAAGTTGAAATGGTAAATTGGCCACCGTAACGATTACAAAAGCTGACGTTTCGAGCGTTAGCCCTTCGTCGGAGCGAATGACGAAGGGCTAACGACTTTTTCCTTCGCTCCGACGAAGGGTTAACGCTCGAAACGTCAGCTTTTGTAATCGTTACGGTGGCCAATTTACCATTTCAACTTTGTTGATATATCCAAATTATTAGCATAGTTGTTTGCTATCTGTAATTCGAAGTTAAATAAAGGTTTTTACTTCACTTCACAATATTAAATTGAGTGACGAAAAAGATCCCAGACTGCAATGGTTCCGCTTTACTTCGCTCTGTGATTGGTCTACAAGACTTGCGCCAGCCTTTTACCCAATCAGATGCAAATCGTCTTGGTCACTTGCGTTTTCCCGCGCTTTGGCAAATCAGTCGATTTCACAATGAGTTCTCAATGGCTTTGAAGATATTTTCCTTTTTCCTGGTTGGTCATTTTGATAACTTCCGGTTTGGTATTACGACGCTCAATTGAAAAGCGCACTAGTTGGTAAGCAATTTATTATGGTGAGCAGGCTACTACAGACAACAAGCTATAATCTACGAGCGTAGTATTGTTCCATGCCTTGTAGTAAAGGTGCGACAAAGATCTTTAATAACATCCGGCATTTCAGTGATCTTCTCTCAGATGCAAGACTAAATTAACATTTTCGACATTCGAAAAGCGCTTTTCCACCCAGTTCGCGCTCGACCATAAGTCGAAAGGCCTGAGTCCGAAACTTGAGGCTCGTTTCTGGAATGTTCCGGTAGATTCCCGTACAAAGAGCTTCTTTTTTTGTTTGCTTCATTTACCTTGATGATCGAGATGTTGGTAGCTTTTAAATTAAACAGTTTGAAATATAAAGAAACAAATAAAATCGAAAAAATTTTGAGAATCCGCGATACTATTCTTCAGATGTATAAACTTTGAGATTATCAGTGATGCCAAGCCCGAAAAAAATACTCGTGGGCTTTGAAAAACGGGCCCTTAGTCGGTACAATGATTTTTTACCTCGTGCTTCACCTGTAGAAGAGAACTTTGATTCAGCGAAAATCACGTGTTTCAAAATATCAAACTCGAATCTGCCAAAGTTGTAGAGGAAACCAAACTACCATTCGAGGTGACCAAGGTTGCGAAACTGCATTAATTTCGTAGTTTCCATGGTGACGCACGCATCAAAACCCGCATGGAAAAATCCCTACACCACCCCCATTATCTACGGTTTCCTTAGAAACCTTTGCTGCTGCGGAAAACTTCGTTTGCCATGTTTGAATTTGCGATAGGCGACCGCCCGCGATCATTTCTCGTTACACGAAGCAATTGTTTTAAAAATCGGTGAGTTGGCAGTTTTATATGCCACGAACATGCAAGAGATGAAATGACGACGTCGTTTAGCTGAGGATTAGCTTTTTGGTTCGGATTACTTGTATGGCTTGGGATATGGGAGAATTTCGTCTGCTTTCGGAAAACTTTGGAAGTAAGTGTTGAGGATAAAAGTTAGGGCAAAGGCTCAAGAATTGTTGACGTGCATCCTAATCTATCTGCGATTATTATGTTGCTTTTCGAGACGAATATCTTTATACCTTGAAAGTACGCATTTGCTTTTGAAAAATTGCGATCAAACGACCGCCTTCCGCCGTAAAAACGAATTTTTTTTTGTAACTTTTCTGAAGCGTTTCCGAAAGTTTTCTGTATTAGTCACTTACACTGATAGAAAAAGGTATTATATTATGTCATAATATTAAAGTTTTACTGGTGTTTGTCGCATTTCAAAAACCTTTGTCCTGAAAGTTTGTTAAAGATCGTTAATAGTTTAAATTCCAGCCGAATAAAATAAGTTTCGTGTTTCTTCGGCCGAAATTCGGCAAAAAAAAACCTGAAAATTTTGTTATTCTTAAATTTCACCCATCGTAAAGCTTATTGTTGACCTAAGCAGTGGTCATACAGGCGTAATATTCGTTCCAATTGGCAAGTAGATATTTCAAAAAGTTATATTAAACAAAACTTCTTTGTTTCAATCGTACCTTTTGTGTTAAGAGATCAATTTAAGCCATCAAAATTTTTTTGCAAATTAGATCTCGAGCTTAATACCGGTGGCGATCTTTTGGGATAACAGTGAAATTAGCAGGATAAGGTACTGAAGATGTTATATTCAATTTATCGAAAAATCATTTGAAATCCATAAATTTAGAGTCCACTTCAACGTAATGGTTAGACAGTGACCTTTCCTCATGGGTCTTTCAGAAAACATTGAAAGGCGGGTGCGTTTTTACTTTTGCAGTAATTTAATTTTCTTGAATATTTTACGTCGAAGCTACTCTAATTTATATCCTCCGCCATGATTGCCTTTAGATGCTGTCTTCATACAGTTATTTACATCCTTTACAACGATCAGGTTAAAACAACGTGTGAAACGAATGCATTGTCAGCGCTGCAATGTAAAGGAACTTTTTCAAAGCTTCCATGCGTTTATTTTTTAGTTGGAGCCATTACGATTAAAAAAAGTGGAATGGACTGCGCTGTCTTTCGTTCTGACGAAAGGCTAACGTTGGAAGCGTCATCTTGAAACCTCTTTACGGTGGCCAGTTTACATTATTAATTCAAAATAAAACCAAAATAAAATTTGAATCAAGCGGGCGGGGAGAGGCAATGTAGGATTCACGGTGTCTTTCAAAAGAGATAAAAAAAAAATAAGGATGTACTTTTAGCTCTAGAATCCAAGTTAATCCCCGTCTAAAATAGTGACCAGCTTCTAATTTCTCCTTACAATATCACCCCTCAAACAAACGGTAAGGTCACGAGAATAAAGTAGATCATATCCAACTAAAGACGCTCTTGATAGTTAGAAAAATTCTCCTTACTGGCACCTTAGGAAATGTATAGCGAATAGTATAGAGAACATGGACACTGATGTTAGGATAGAAAGGATTAAGCACGTGGAAAAATTAGGCCACCGTGTCGCGGGTCCCGTGTCCCTTTGGAGGGCTTTGAAAACCGAACCAGTTCTTTCCATTCGCAGGTTTTAGAACTGCGTCTGAGCCGTTGGATCCATAATGTGAAAATATTTGCATTTGGTTGTGGTTTATCAGGCCGGTGCTTAACTCCGGTTTCTGTAGCATGAAGCGACTAAGAGTATTTCTACTACCCCCCTGGATGGGATGCTAGTCCATCACAAATCTACCAGCTTTCTATCGCAAATTTTGTGATTGATTGGTTACCTACTCGCCATTTATTTCGTGAAAGTGGGTAGAGTGAATCGCCCAATGATTTGCCGTTGTTAATATCATAAAATGAAAACGTTACGAGTAGGTGACAAGTAGATTTATTCGATAAACAATTGAATCATTCGCTCTCCTCTTCCACGCATGATCGTTTTAGAGGGCTTCCCTTATCACGTGATAGAAATCGTGAGCGCATGCTCTAATTGCTTAACATTAATCCGTTAATTAAGAAAGCTAGCAGAAATATCTTGTTCACAGCAAAAGCAAATATTTTCACTTGGGATTACTCACGGCTTAACTATTAAACTCGTAAGATCTGATTGTTAATTCTCCCTCTTGCCTTATACGCATTTCCTCGCATCGTCTAATTTGTCAGTTCAGTTTCCAGGCGGATTCTTTATCGAGTTATTGAGACTAAAAAAAATTATAAATCACTCGCCATCGGTTCGTAATTTACAAGCTTCCCTCGTGTTCTCCTAACATCCCGCGAGGCTTTATGACGATGCAGAGCCCAGAAAAATGTGTGCTTTAATGCTTGAATAAATGTAGTGTTAGATCAAGAAATCTTTTACGAGATAAGTTTTAGTATTCTCATTACCTATTTGCTGGATAGTGGATGGACATTATTAGGGAGAAGTTACTTGCTGATCACTTCTTGGAGTTAACGGTAAAGGCCAGACGACGAGAACTTCACTTTTTGCCCTTTACCTTTGCTTCAAACATCATGAATAACCTCGTTGCTGAGCGTGCGTTCCTACGTCGAAAAATACAGGCCTGAAGTGAATTTTTTCGGTGCAGTTTTAACAGTTTGATTCTCTCTCTTCAGGTATTAATGATCCTCAGACTGTTTTCACCCTGGTCGTGGTGTGTATCACAGTGCTGCTTCTCTTAGCTCGAGTTTGCTTTGGAATGTTCAAGAAACTTGGACCTCATAAGGTGGCTGTCGAACTGTTTTTAGTGAATAGAACGTTTTTGTTTTTGTTAGTGTTGCAAAGCATTTAAGGAATTATGTTTTTGCTTTTCCTCAGGAATACCTCACAACAGATGCGGAACTCAATGGAGCTGATGTCTATATTCCTGTAAGTTCAGCTGTTGTACTTTTGTTTTAGTTCCTTCTTTGAAAAGTGAATGAAAGACAAACGATATCGTTAAGATCTTGTGAGCTTGGAGGAATTTGTGTTTTATAGAAGTTGATTCGTGCAATTGTAAGCAGCTTCTGGAAGTGAATGAAAAGTAACCATCTTATCACAGAATGGGCAGATTTTGTTTGTTTGTCTGTTTGTTTTGTTTTATTCAAGTTTATTTGTTTTCAAGTGTCACTCAGAATGCTTGGAAATCTTTGGCTGCGAATTAATCGACGATAGATCTTCACTCCACTAATTTGAAGTTTAGAGTTTTACCAGCCACACGATACAGAAGTATCAAATGAATGTAATCAAACCTGGTACCGAGAAATTTTTCGATATTACGTTACACATTCAAGCACGGATTCGTGAACATCTATAAGTGGTTTAAATGTAACTTCTTGGCACATTATTAGTAGGTTATCCTGCACACAATTGATAACAATGGATACACATGGATTAGAGGGTGTTATCTTGATAAAACGCCAAGTTTTCTTACTGATTTTTGTCCTCATTCCATAAAGGAATCGAGAGTAACGTGACATCTTATAATTTAACATTTTCGTTGTTGCGTTACAGGAAGCTTACCTTCCACCAGTGCTCCAAACAACGCGGGAAATGAAGGCTACCGGAAGTGAGAGTAATGGCGTGTCTCCTCCCCAGCTCACCAGGCGGAAGAATTACGGCACGACTCAGAATGACCACGTGATCGATACGTCACAACTGACACCCAGTTCGGAAACTGTAGTGACTTTCACTGACGAGGACAGACACTAATTCAAAGGCTGTGACCGTTGGAAAACATTTAAATATTTGTTTTGTAAACCTGTCTTACCGTAAAAGGTAGAGTTTTTGTTTTTGGTACAATGGACTCTTCTCCAACTTTCCTCAGCGTCAAAGTAAGGACCTTTTTCGTTTGTAACCTGAGAAAGTTTCAATTTTCCAGTTGCTTTTTTTAGCCGTGAGAATGTAATGTTTTTGAAATGAGTGTGACAAAACTTAGTGGCAGAGAATAAGTTACGGTAGATGGGTTACTGAGGAGCAAAGCTCGTCCCAGGCTCAAGGTGCATTTCCGTCGTCTCTTTCTTGAAAATCCCTGAGTAACTGCAATGTTACGGTAGCGTTGTTGGAAAGCACCGCATAATTGAACTTTTAGTTTAACTAATTTATGTACAGTAGATTAGCAGCATCTACAAAAATGATATTTTTTTTTTCCAACTTTCTTTAGGGGAGTTTTAAATGTGTTATCGTAATGTTCGGTATTCTCCCAAGATATTTGGAACGTCTCGTATTGTAAACTCGGAAATCAAGTGCCTCTAATTTAACGGATTGTTAAAATTAGTATTGGTATTATCCTTATTGATATTTTCTTGGGAAATCAATTTTAACAGATATTTTGTGCAAGAATAAGTCATGCTTATACATTTTGATAAGTATTTTCTAGCCCACTTACTTTGGGTCGCTCTTAGATTTGTTTCAAAGTACTTAGGAAAATATATGTTAGAGTAATTTGTTTCGTTATTTGGAGACAAATCAGATTATTTGAATTCATTTAGTGGATATTTGAGGAGCTTGTATTGGAATTTAAGTTATTGTGCAATCGTGAGCCGCGAAATCCATTCGAATACCTATAGACAGTTAATAGAAAACACCTTAATTTAACAGCACAATTTTTTTTTCTGTAAGATAGTTTTGTTTCGACTCTTATGTCCGTCTTCAATTTTCGTTAGAAAGTCTTTGTAATAAATAATTAATTACTGATTGTTTTCCCATAATTTAGAGTTTTGCGTTTTAAAGAGATTTTAAATTTAAAGGCATCATCGAGACAGGCATATACGGTTTTTACTTACTTTTTACGTTTTCCATCTCTAGAACAATTATATTTATTAATGCGTTAGTGGATCTGTGTTTGGTTCTTCTGAAAATCAGACTATGAACACGAAGGGTATTGAGCTGGGGGGGGGACAGCATCAGACTTCCCTTCCGCTTTAGGTCCCCCTCGGTCGTTTTTTTTTTTCGCCCTAGTTCTTCCTATAACCTCAGATCACAAGCGTGGGTCATTTTCCGAAATAGCCATGATTGACTTCTTTTTTGCACATAGACAAGCGGAAAATTGTGACAGGGGCTTACTGAATTGTTAAATTGGGTCAGTAAATTATTACAGTGAGGAGACTCAAACCTGAGACTTCAATTACTTGAATAATTATCCTGTGATTAGTTTCTAATTTTAGTATACCTACTAGACGTTCTTTTGTTGGGTGAACCTAATCGTAGAATTCTCGATGAATTCATTTAAGCCGTTGAAAAAATAAATTATTGTTGAGATGTCTGTTGGTCTGTTAGACACCTGATAACTTGTTCAATGATATTCAAACATTGTGCGCCCTACTATATTCCTGAATCCACAGGAGTTTTTTGGGCAGGGTTTTTCCAGTCGGCTCTCGACCTGCTGCCATCTTTAAAGTTGGCTGAGAAATCCCTGGGGTCGAAGTTGGAAATTCCTAACTGGCATACTCTATTGGCGGAGTCTGCTTCACACGGGCTCATGTAAGTCACTGTACATCGTTTCTTAAGAAAATTCGTTTCCAAGTGTTCATTGTGATACAAAAATGTCAGAGAAACAGAACCATCGAACGGAAAGAGCCAAAATGTATTGAATATGACTGAGAAGCAGCTAATTTGGGGTGATAACATTTTCTAAAATCATTTTCTTTTCCATCACAGGGAAGCTGTCCCTACCCTCCCCTCCCCTTTCCCGCAGTGACAATTCATTGATTCGCTAATTAACGATAAGAATTGGGAATCACAGTCCTACACGATTTCGTAGAACGTCCAGTTTTCTCTCAATTTGTTACAATTGTAACACGGTCCGCACGGTTCCACAGTGTGTCCGGTTTTCCAGCATTCGTTACAGTTCTGCTCTTACGAGTATGTTATGCCTTTGAGTGAACGCCCCTTTCTATATGATATCATGGGTGGTGGTTCATTGAAGAACTTGAAAAGAAAAAGTTGAATTTTGGTAAGTCTCAAAGTGACTTGGACAGTGTTTGGTGCTTCACAGTCTGTACTTAAGCATTAAATCTAGAGATTTTTTTTTAAAAGAGTTGAATGAAGGAGAAAATCTCAAACCTGCGCACCCCCTAGATTCCAAAGCCGCTCGGTTTCAACACTTGTTCTTACGTCAGTCAGGTACAGGTGACTAAACGAAACACACTGGAAACGAGAAAGGAAGTGACCAATGATGAAACGTTACGTCATAGATTTTTTCCCCGCCATTTTTCGGTTCTCAACGCTTTTTGTTGTGTCCTCTCTAAAACAAACCCTTGAATTTTCATTGAACTCTCAATCGAAATGGGTTGATACAAGCTTCAAACGAAAAGAAAGCCTCTTTAGGAGGTAGCTAACACAATCATTCGTCTAAGGTGACCAATCTAGGTCGGATACTCAGAGGATTTCCATTTCGTTTGTCGTGGCTTTCTTAATCGAATTTTCTGAAGTCGAAGGTAAGATGGTATTGAGCACTTTAGCTAAAACAGTTGCTTTCTTAAAAGTAAGCTGAAATCTTCACATTTCCTCACTTTCATACCTTCTACGGCTTATAAAAAGCTTTCACCGGTGTCTGTTTCGCGATCGATCGTGTGCACAGCTTGGCTTGAAAGAGTTTAATTAGGTGGCTTCGAATTCATGATCGATGAAAACTACAGATTACAGGGCCACTTATTTACATCTCATTAAGTCACAAGGCATCCTTTTGATTTCTTCCTCGTTCTTCAAAGCATGCCGACAAGGTGGACCTCAATGGCCCTGTATTCTGTAGTTGCTCCAAACGTTCATGTAAGAGAATTAAACTTATATTAGACAAGTGCTTCCGATCCAGAGAAATTTCGCCCGCTACATTGTGAAGCACAGTTACCTTGCTGACCGCTAGAGTCTTCGATGAATCGTTTAAAACTAAGTGTAGCCTTACTGCAATATCATCATATTTTAAATTAGAATATGTTTCGTACAGTTTCGGAATTATGTTTGTCTTACATGCAGGTCGGTCAGTCTGGTCATCACAGAATCTACCTCTGATAAAAGTGATGGATCGGACGATAAAGATATGGTCGTGACCTTGAGGTAAGCGTTGAAAAAAGGAACCTTTCAATTTTTTTGCTGAAACACTTTCTTAAATTTTATTTAGCAGTATTAGATGCAAATAAGCTTTACTAAAATTAACAGGTGGCCATTCGGCTGAATCGTTTAATACGACCTAAAAAAATAATTCTAAGTGGGGCTGCTTAAAAGTGATTTTACAGCGGGCTGTAAATCAATTTGATTATCCTCAACAAAAACAACAAAGCTGACACCTTACATGTAACAAGTGGAGTCAGAGTGCTTCCTACCCAGTGAACATCAAAAATAGGAGTCATGAGTTTGTTGGAATCAGAGTTGGAACAGTCAGAATACATTAATATTCCTTCTGCTTCTTTGGGTTTGATTTTTATTGGATCATATTGCTCTCACTACTGATTATGACTCAGACTCTGTTATAAACGAAAATCAGCCTTAAGAAATGAATAATACAGTTGTGAAACTCTGTCAGTGTGTTGTTATAAATGCACAATTTACTAACCAAAATTAATGATTTATCTTCAGGTGCCTTTCAAAGCTCATTTGTGATGTCAAATCTTGCAGAGGTGTGTACTGTTATATTTATGTCACCTTTCTTTAATGCAGTACCAGAAGTTTATATTAATCAGATGAATTGGTATGATATAGTGTTCAAACATCTTTTTCAAATGCAGTAATGCTGTGATATCTGTAAAGTAGAATGATGTACCTCTGTATGGGTGTGTACCAGTTAGAAAAGATGGGGGTGGGGAATATTCAAATTCATCTCTTGTTGCATGCATGAATACATGTATATATTGATTAATAACAGTCTGAGGTGGTACAGAAAAATCTGATTCTCCCTCCATTCATAACCTAGTCACTAGAAACAAAATTTTCAATTGCTGTAAAAAGAATAAAAAAGGGGAAAAAGAGAAGAAGGACACTTTGTGTTATTACACAAAGTGTCCTTCTTCTCTTTAACACCTGTCCAACTTTTTAGCAAATGTTCGTCTCAGTAAATTGGAATTCTTAAGCTTAATTGTTAAATTTACCACAAACTAGCAACTTTTATTGCAAATGAATTTGCCTTCATCTTCTCTCTTGTCGTGGTGACCAAAACAGTCTCAGATCAGAACACTGTTGTGTAAATAGAGTGAGAGAGTTAGAAACATTTTGAGCCCAGTTGTTAACTCATTAGTAACTTTTTGTCGTTTAACAGTTTAACTGAGGTTTAGAAACTGTAAACTGAGCCATAGTAATGATAATTTGCCACGGCTGCTGCGGCAAGATTTAAATTAAGTCTCTAATTAACCCTTAATTCCAGAAGTGATTAACAAATAACTTCTCCATATAATAATATAATTTATCTTATTAACCAAGCGCGAGGGCCGTACTGGGAGAATATCGGCCTGAGGTCTTGACAGTATGGACCGAGCGCAGCGAGGTCTGTACAAAAAAGACCGAGGGCCGATATTCTTCCAGTACGGTCCCGAGCAAGCTTGGTTAATAAGAGATTTATTATACGACTGAAGTTCAAAGGGACACAAGTGCGGTACCATTCGGGACAGTGCCCGGTCCAATACTGAGAGAATATTGACTGGCAATAGAGCATTTTGATTAGTTAATTTTAGTTATTGGCCCTCTGGCTACGCGAGTCGTGTAATAATTAACCATACATCATCCCTCACACAGATACAGTAACAAGAATGCTCAAAGTTATCAGATACAAGTTGTTAACTTGATCTAGCACCATATTCTCATAACTAATTGACAAAGAAATGTGTAGCAGCAAGAGGGGAGAATTACTTGTAACATTCAGATCTTGGGAGTTACGCTGTGAAGAATTAAATGTTTCATTTTTTAATTTTATCTTAGGAGTCATCTTCTTGCAATGAAGCTTCTGTGGAGCAGACTTATCCAGCTGACCAAACCAGAAAATCCTCAGATCCGTTGAGAGTTACTATTCTAAGTGATGAATGGGGTTCGTCGAAGGGGGGTCTCTCAACCATCAATAAAGAGCTGGCAATACAGTTAGCCAAACATCCCGAAATAGACATCACTGTGTATCTTCCCAAGTGTAGTGAGAAGGACAAAAGTGACGCAAGTGTTCATAATGTTCAGCTCATGGAAGCAGAAGAACTTCCAGGATATGATCCAATTGACTGGCTGTCTGTTGTACCAGAAAATCATGCAATTGATGTTATCATAGGTCATGGAGTACGTCTTGGTAGACAAATATCCATCATAAAGAAACAGTGCACCTGTGGTTGGATGCAAATGGTCCACACAGCCCCAGAAGAGCTTGGAAAATATAAGACCTATGCTGAAGCATTTTCAAAAGGTGCGAAGAAGCATCAAGAGGAAGTAGAACTTTGCAAGAGGGCCGATCAAGTAATTGCAGTAGGGCCAAAATTGGCAGACGCCTACAGGCGTTACTTACGTTCCAGCCCGAAAGATCAACCTGTTCTGGATCTTACACCTAGTATTTTCTCACAATTTTCTCAAGTAAAACAAGCTAGTGAAGAGCGGAGTACTTTTGGTGTTCTAGTGTTTGGACGTGGAGATAGCGAAGATATATTTCTGAAAGGCTATGACATTGCAGTTAAAGCAGTTGCAATGTTTGAGGAACTGTACCAGCTCAGTTTTGTTGGTGCTCCTGGTGGGAAAGAGGATGAAGTTACAGAAAAGTTCGAGGCTTGTGGAATTTCCCGCAGGCAACTAAGTGTTCCCTGCTTTAATGAAAGAAGAGAATTCCTACCTCATTTATTTTGAGAGATGGATATGGTAGTGATGCCCTCAAGGACTGAGGGATTTGGACTGACTGCCCTAGAGGCCATGTCTGGTGGCCTGCCAATACTTGTCAGTGGCAACTCTGGATTTGGGGAAGCACTCAAGCAAGTGCCATTTGGCAACCAATTTGTTGTGGATTCAGAAGATCCTGATAAGTGGGCTGAGGCAATCAAGGCTGTTCGAAAGAAGGAGAGGAAGTTGCGACTGGAGGAGGCCAAACACCTTCAAAAAATGTATGCCAGCAAGTTCAGCTGGAAGGAACAGTGTGATTCACTTTATGAAGCAATGTGCACTATCATGTCAAGTAAGATTATTTCCCCTTTAATTACATGTTGGCCAGGGGCTAAAATTGTGATGAAATGCCCCACCCAAATAGTGGATTTAAATGTCCTTTATTTGTAAAATGCAAGATAAGCGACCATTACTTTCTTGTACACCTTTTCTTCTGAGCCACATACTTGTGAAAGTGTTCAAACAAGGCACAGGCAGTAATTGCTTTCTTTCCCATATTAATAGCTGTAATTTTTTTGACAGGGTCCACTACTGATTTAAATTCTACCATAACCCCAAAGTGTCAGTCATCCATGGTAAACCCTAAACAGGCTGATCAAAGCGCTGAACATTTGGCTAGCAATCCTGGAGGTAGGCACTTTGTAAAATGTGTCAACTGTTGCAATGAAGCATACATAGTGATTAACTCTAGTTTTTTAAGCAAAACTAACATGCAATATACTTGTTTAATTACTTACTTGCAACCTACCTGATAACGTAATAATAATTCCAATAACCAGTACAATGTATTAGTTGCTATACCATATGTCACCATGTAAGTGAAATATATTTGAACTGATAAATGTAGAGATTTGATAAGTAATCTATTAAGTATTTCCATTAGGAAAGTAATTTATATGTCAATTGGTTACTTACAATAGGCACATTACTGTTATTAGTTATTTGGTTAGGAGGTGTACCATTTTACAAGTTAGAGTGTTAAGTCTCCTCTCTCATACAATAGATGCCAAACTTTGGATGCACCTTGTAGCTGAGTAAAATTCCCCACTTTTGTTGACTGTAATAATTAATGGCCCTTTACCCAAACAAAAAGAAATTCATGGACCAAGCCTTAAAGGTCAGAAATTTGGAGCCAAATTAGGATCAGTTCACTTTCTTTGTTTGGAAGCTCATTATTTTGTTCATGCAGGTCATAGGACATGTGAGTTAATTTGTAAACAAAGTAGTGTACTAGTAGTTTCTGCAGGAGAATGCATCTCTGTAATTGAAAAAAAAAAAAGAAAAAAAAAACTCTTTGTGGGAAGTACACTTGAATGATGCACTGTACCTCACATATCTGTACCGAAAGTGCTGTCAGTAATGGTAGTGAGTTCTAGTGATGTTTTCACTTGTCAGGTGTTTTCATTTGCCTTTTTCCACTTTTATCCAACTTTCAAAATGCTTATACTTATTTGACCTCAAATTTGCAGATCCATCAGAGAAGCTGGCTTCTAGAAAGCGTAAAAGGTCTATTTCTCCTCTTGATGTTCAAGCTCCTAAGCATTGTAGATCAGCAGTAGATGGCCAACAAGGTAAGAAATAATTATGTTTTTGTATTTTTATTCTTTTTGAGAATAAACCATATTTCCATCTGATTCCTCGAGTCACTTTTTATTGTGCATTGCTGTGGCGGCTTTATTAGGAGAAACTTGTGTCTGTTAGCACGTTTTCTTTTACAGAAAATCCTCAGTTAGATGGCAAAGGTTTATTCAACTGCAAAAAATGTTTATTACTGATAATTTTACATTTTGTTTGACATCAGCTGTAGATCACTTTACCTTGGTGATCAAAAGACTCCAATCTGAATACAAAAGGAGGTCTCTGGTTAAACCATTACCTTGGAACAATACCCTTCAACTGCAACTTGATGACATCTACACCAGATTTAAATTTCTCTCTCGAAGGAAACGTGACTTCACATTGGAAAATAATGCCATTGACAAAGATGTCATTTTTGAATTAGACAAAGGCGAAGATAGCATGGTTTTAGTTGAGGGAAGTCCAGGAATAGGGAAGACAACATTTTGTCTTAAAGTTGCAAATGATTGGGCCAGAAAAAGATTTGCAGAGAACAGTCAAGGGAATTTCTCCTTTGAGTTAGTTCTTCTTTTAAAGTGCCGGGATTTTGAAGGAGATGTCATGGAAGCGATCTGTAATCAACTTCTTCCTGAAGATTGTGATGAAAAAATTAGGAGTAATCTTGTTGATTTCCTAAAAGACCTCCACAACCAGGAAAAAGTTTTGATAATTTTGGATGGTTTGGATGAGTTGCCCACCAGGTCTAAATGTCATTTAGATAAATTATTGAACAGGCAGATTCTCCCATTTTGTTTTTTGTTGGTGACATGCCGTCAAGAGAGAGGAATTTCGGCACGCAAGGAGTTTCAATTTGAAATTCATTTGCAAATTGAAGGGTTCACAGACAATTAAAGCTGCTTCTGACTTTGTCATGAGGTATTTCGACAACATTTCTACTACTAATGGCCAGAAACTTGTTGCAGAAATCAAGGAAAATAGTCTCCTTCAGGCACTTCCAAAGAACCCTTTAAATTTGCTGCTTCTGTGTGTTGTGTTTGAGGACTTTCAAGGAAAACTTCCATCCTCCCGGACTGAACTTTATCAGATTATAGTGTGTTGTCTCTTAAGAAGATACTGTGCCAAGAACAATTTAATACCTCATGCTGATGACAGAAAACTGAGGAAACAGTTTGAAGAGAGCATGCTTGCTTTGGGAGAGCTAGCGTGGAATTGTCTTCTCCAAGATCGCCACAGTTTCTCTGAAGGAGAACTAGCAAGCCTTGAAGAAAGAACTAATGGTCTAGTTGCCCGTTACCTCGGTCTTGTATTCAAGGAGGCAAGTTTGAAGAAGATGAAGCCCAGTGATGAATATTATTTTCTTCATAAAACTTTCCAGGAGTTTCTAGCAGCATCATATCTTGCACATCGTGTACAGAAAGAAGACATTAACCTCTTCAGTGATTTTGGCTTGAGGTTCCATGACATTGTGACAAAATACCGGCAGGTGTTTTTGTTTGCAGTTGGGACACTAGAGCAAAATGATGTCATGTTCAGACAAGTTGGCAAAGAACTTGTACAAGTTTATGGTGAGTGGAACTGGCTTCAGTGCTCAGAAGAAGAAACAACATTCTTCACTGAATGTCTTGAGGAAAGTGGAAACTCAGAGGACATGGCACATACTTTATTTTCATTAATTCCCCTTCCACAAGATATTGTGATTGGTCACAGCGTTGATCATTATCCAGAAAACATTGTACCTATTTTGAAAGTTTGCCAAGCATTTACACAATTACAACAACCTCTCAACCTTTTCATACCTAATGCAAATTTTCTTGAGGACTGTGAAATGAAGGCTATGACAGATGTCCTGGAATCTTGTTGTCACCTTGAAAACCTTTTCTTCTCCGCTCGTGAAATGACCAAACCACTAGCCGATGCTTTATTTGAAGGACTGTCTGCCAGCCCTTCCTTATTGCTTCTTTCTCTGAATGTTCCATACAGCTTGGCTGCTGATCAAGCTTATATTATTGGCAAGGCATTGGCTGCAAGCAAGAGTTTGAGAACAGTATCAATGATACTCAGCCATGACTGCAATGAGACTTGGGCTAGTGCTCTTGAACAAGGATTATCAGCAGGAACACATCTGAGACGTGTCATCCTCACCCTCCGTGGAACAATGAATCAAACCTCCTTACAGGCTCTGATAAGCCTGTTTTCCAACAAATCATTGACCTTTCTTTCCATTCTCCTAGAAGGAGATATGCATGATTCTGTAGCTTATGCTATTAATGAAGGCCTGAATGCAGAAAATTCTTTGGAATCCTTTCAGCTTGTTATATTTGGAAATATGAGTTACTCTCAGACTGGTGCAATATGCCTTGAGAAAGCTTGTTTTCAAAATCAGTCCTTGAAGTCCTTGGAAGTGTTTGTTCATGGAGAGGTCCCTGAGAACTGGTCCACTGTTGTTCACAGTTTAATGTCATCCAAGCAGCCAACACTGTCTTGTAATTTGCAACCCAGTGTCTACCACAAGATAACAGACACACAGATAAATCATCTTGGTGGTCATATTTTGCCAAGTGGTAGATTCTTGTCTGAACAGTCCTTAACTTTGACCCTTTGGGGTAGACTCAGTCATAGTGGTGCAGAAGCCCTTGGTGAAGTAATCAGGAGTTCTCTGATGTCCAGTTTGACTCTAAATGTCCACAGCAAATTGGATGATGATGTTGTCCATTGTCTTGCTGAATACAAGAAACATACAAAGACACTATCCTCTTTCAAAGTAAATGTTTATTGTTATCTCTCTGAAGAGGAAAAGTCTTTTCTTCTGGGTTTATCAAGTAATGGGCAAGAACTTCCTTTTGTCTTGAATTTCCCCCAAAAAATTCAAGAGGAATCTGCATGCCTTTCCAAAGACCTAGTATGCTCTGACTCCGACCAGTTAGAATCAAGATCTGAAACCTGCCACGTTAATCTTACATCCAGTTGTACAAGTAAAGACTTTGCACCCTTGAGAAGATTGCATGATGGTTTGCCAAGCACAGTGCCATTGACAACACTGAGCATCAGCATCAATACTGATGGTGGCCTCAGTGGAAACTGGGCAACTATGTTGGCTACTGCTTTAGCTGAGAACACTTCAGTCACAACTTTCAGTCTGACCTTGAACAACTATGATGACATGGGAGGTGGCTGGGGATGTTGCCTGGGTGAAGCCTTAGCAAGAAACACCTCACTGACCACACTACAGCTCACATTCAACAACTATTCTGACATGAGTGGTGACTGGGCAAAGGGTCTAGCCGATGGCTTAGTCAAGAACACATCTGTAAATACGCACCACCTTACAATCAATGACTATGGTGACACAACTGGAGAATGGGCAGACACCATTGGCAATGCTTATGCAGAAAACAACAACTTGACTTCCCTTCATCTGAAAATCAACAACCATAGCATAGACAGTGACAACTGGCTTAAAGATTTGTGTATAAGTTTATCAAGGAGTGAATCAGTGTTCAAGCTTCATTTCTATTTCAGTGACCAAGATGTGTTTGTGAAGAATGTAAGTCTAAAAGAAAATCTTGGCAAGTGGCTGGCAGAAACTAGATCAATAACAGCAATTCATCTGACGATAAGCCTGTTTGGAGAACCTTTAGATTTCTCAAAGGAGGAGCACCCTGAATCAGATGTGCAGCAGCAACCATGAAACTTAGGTTCTCTTCTTTAAGAACCAAACCTTCCCACCTGAGAAGACCTTTGTGAAGAGTTGTTCAAGATGCTGATAGACAATTAATGATAAACATTTATCTCACTATTTGGGCACCTTCAGTCATAAATAATGACCTATACCACACCCTGTGTATCCACAACTGAAGTCTTACAATGAAGTTTAAAAATTTGGCTGCTTTTGATTTTTGCCCTTCATCTCCAGCAGAAAATGTTTAATGGACAAGTTTGTCACAGAATTTTACAGTCTAGTAGTATCTAATTGCAAAAAAGGAATGGGGTTTCTGAAAAATAGGTCTCATATTCGGTCATTTCCATTCATTTGGTAAACAGCAGAAAATCTGCCTAGCCAGATTGTAACTTCCCTGTAAAACACTAAAATTGGCTTCTATAGTTTAGTAGTGTAAAAAAAGGACAAATATGGAATCTGCTTTTTTGTGTAAGTCTAAGGTCCATTATTTACAAGTTTTCACGAATTTTCCAATACAATTGCCCAAAATTGTTATTGAGTGTAGCCTTTTTTTGTCTTTGGATAGACAAGTGAATGCATTTCTTGTAAACCTGTTGGCAAGTCACACCATGGTGATTACTGTTCAAAATAGCTTGCAGTGTATGCTTTGACTTATGTCACCCTATCTATCTAAGTTCATGCCTACAATTGATTCAAGGTTGAAGGAAACCAAAATAACCATACTGTTTTGCTTTTGTCTGATATGTAGAGCAATTTACATCTCTTGTCAAGATATTTCTTTGGTCTTTTTCCTATTTTCAATAAAGGTTGGGGTTATGTCAAGAGTATTTATGTGCCTTCATCAACAGATGCCCCTAGGTCATAGCAAATTCATGCAGTTTCCATAGCTACCAGTTCTTTAAGACAACAAATGGTGTAAATTGCAACATGACCACATGGTGTTATGTCCAAACTCAGTTTGGAAGATAAAGAATCAAATTTACACAAATGACTGCCACTAAACAAGTACACTGTGCATTGACAATATTTGTACCTGGTCCAGTAAGCTTTATAATTAGCAGAAAAATTGGTGCCTATCCCCCCCTCCCTCTTCACACACACACACGTGCACCCTCCTCTGAATCATAATTTCCACTGGTTAGTAGTAACTGAGTGAGTTTTTGTACATCAAGTGGTCAATAGGCCATTTTACAATTGTATACTTAGTTGCCAAGCCTTTGATTCTGAGTGAGGCTAAAGGTGACCTTGTTGTGATAAAGACCTGTATCTAGCTAGAATGATAACAAAGTGATTTACATTTGAAAGGCAGCAAGGTTTGTATCATAACAAGGTCACCCCTAGCCTCACTCCCGTTCAAAGGCTTGGCAACCAAGCACACAACTGTAAATGGACTATGGCACAAAATGGCATTTTTCTTTTAAAATACCCCTATTCCGTGGAATCTGTATTGAGTGATTACCCTGCCATTCCCAGTGGGTAACTGCTTAATAAGGATATGACCGTTGTTTCAGGACCAAGTAGGTACAGAATAAGATAGCAATGCAAACCTTGCTTTAGGAGGGAACTGAGAAGGAAATGAAAACTAAGGATATGAAGAACTCTGAACTCATATGGTGTTAGGAGTGAAATCTGTTGCTCTGAGAACCAGTCCTCTCTCTTTCTACACCTCTGCAGCTAAATTAGCCATGTTTTACTGAATATTTTCTATCTTCAACTAGATAGTGTATGCATGCTCCACGGATCTAGCGCGCTCGAGGAACGACTCATTTCAACTTAAATTAATGTTAACCCCACGAGGAGGGTGGGGGGGGGGGAATTGTGACCACATACAGGGGAAAATCGCAGCTACCCTCTCTCATCCCTCGATCCTAAATTTCAAATTAGATTGATCTGTGTCTTCGAGAAACTTGGCTAAACCAGCCAGAGTGCCTCTATGCCTGGGGTTTTTTACTTTTCATGACTGAACAGTCGTTATCAGTTAATAGAAAAGTCACTTTAGTACGAGAGGTACCATAAAAAGTACTGCATGAAACGCTTTCCAAAACGCTCGTAACATCAAGATGGCTCTCAAGTTCAGGAAGCAGTGGCGTAAAACTTTACCATATAAAGAGGAATGACTTAAGAATAAGGGTAAAATTTGAAGAACTGAACCCACTCCCTAAAGCCACAACCAACTGCATTGAAAGCAGTACCCCCGGCGCCGGCCCTGCGCCCTTTCCCCCGTGTACAGTATACAAAAGTCCACAATCGTAATGGCCGTGACAAGTACTGGATCCTACTCAAGAAACGCTTGCGCAGTGGTCATAACGCAGACCAAGATGGCCGACCCTTCCCCCAAACATGTTAGGGGACATGATCACGTTCCTTCCTGTCTGAGATTTACTTAGATTCAACTGAAACTCAAGCTAAGAATGGCTACAGTCTGGGGGAACGAAGACGTAGCCTGCTACTTTACCACGAAGCATTCGTGGCGCGGAAAGTAAGTCAATGTTGTTGCTTGTTAGATCAATCGCCGCTGGCTTGCATAGAGGCTTGCTACCGCACGTTTCAGCTTTCTGAATCTTTTGCAAACCTATGTTCTTATTGTTCTTGGCAGATACAAGAGGATCTTCTCCATTGGAACGAAAGGAATTACAACGTACAATCCTGCTAACCTGGAGGTCACAAATCAGGTGTTTATTGATAGTGTACCTTTTTTTCCGCTATGAGGTCATTTTGTTCAGGAGAAGTACTGCGATGCAAATTGCAGAGAGTCAATTTTATCTGATCGTTAAGTCTCTTAGACTGTCTCAAGAACTTTCTGGTTGCATTTACTGTAAAATTTATTAATCGCGGAGTTATCGGAAAATGAAAGTTAATTTTTCTTTTTGCAAAGTTTACTAATTAATCGGTTGATCACTTAGAAATTGTGTTACTTTCCTTTACAAGTTGTACCATTACGCCGCATGCAAATGCTTAAAGGTCCTAAATTTTTAACGAGCCATATCATGTGGCAATCAACATTAGCATTATGATATATGGTAACCTTAAGTCTTCACATCCAATATTCAGTTTTTATTATGACTCTTACAACTCCTAGAAAGTGAAACTGTCTTACCATTTCAATTTCAAAGTGCTAACAGTAGTCTAGCACAATGCAGGGCTTCACACTAACGGTAGCCAACTAGCCACAGACTCGTAGAAATTCAGCTTTGGCTAGCGGTTTTTAATTTCCACTAGCCAGTTTTGGCTAGTAAACAAACCAAAAGTATCGTAACATCTAAGTTGTCACTAGCCACTTGGCTTGTAAGTTGAAAAGTTAGTGTCAAGCCCTGCAATGTAACACTCAAAAGTGTCTCAAAATGATGAATATTACATGTTTATCTTTTATCTTTGGTTTTGTTTTATAAATTTGACTCCACAAGTGACTCGCATCTAATTTCTTCATACAATTTCATCCCTGAATCAATCATTAAAGTCACAGGAATGAAGGGAATGATCACCAGTTAAAGAAGCTCTTGATTGTTAAACAAATTCTCCTTGTCTGCACCTTAAAAAATGCATGGAGAACAGTTTGGAGAATATAACTACAGGAGCAACTTCAGAATACCCATTCATATCATTTACATGTGTCGGGAGGCTTTGAAGAATGAGGCATAACACAATAGACGTTATTCTTATTTAATGAAATGTAAATGAGTGGCGGGGTTTTCTGAAGTTTAGCCTAAATACATATGGGATAGAGTAAGGAGTTGAGGAACTGGTTGAATTTGCCAAGCTGAGATGACTCTAGATGTACATGTAGCTTGCATCCCAACACGATAATACTAAAGCTAATCTGGTGAAGCTTGACCAGGTCTTAGTGCATATCACAAGTAACATTAACCCTGAGGAAAACTGGTGATAAACCAAATGATCATGTAGTACCCCCCTTATACTGATGAAGAACTCTGAGGGGGGTAGGGATGACACGGTGGGAAGAGCATCTTGCCTCTATGGTGTCATGTGGGTTAAGTTTGTTGTCACTTCTTGTCCTAGCCTGGAGGGTTTTTCTGTGGGTCCCCTGGTTTTCTTCCATCCACAAAAACCCACATTTCAAATTCCAATTTAACCTGAAAACAGTGGATGGGAAATTAAGAGCCACCTGGTGGAATGTTCACTATTAAATCCCATCGTTCTTTCCTCAGTTTCTCTAGAAACTTACTATTCTTTATTCATGTATACAAATATAAATCCCTCTTTTGACTGGCTACCTTTCTTGTCTCTTCAGTGGGCTTACAATGACTTCTGTAGAATTGCACCAAGTGCAAAAGCTGCCAATGAGCTGATCATTACTATGAAGAAAAGTAAGTTACAGAAAAATGGAAGCTAAAATGGCTTCTAATTGTTTAATTAACCAGCTTTGTATATGATTATGTGTAGTGTACAAAATTTTGCAGTTTTAAAATTTCAGGTGAAAAAGAGCTCAAATACTGCTTAAATTTCTGCATGCAAGTCAAGCATTGATTTGTGTGGTATTCAGCTTCACTTGAATTTTCTCAATAGCAGTTGTTTGACTCAATTTACAATTAAATTTAAAATAAGTGTTTTTTAGTGTTATTTTGTTCATGTTAAAGTACTGTCATTTGAACAGTCGTTTGCAAGAACTAATGTACATTCATGTTGCCAAAATTTCGATCATTTTTTAAATGCAAAACTTTCTTTTACCTCTTCACAGGTCAGTCTACAAAATACAAGTCTTATTTTCAGATAAGATTTGCAGTGGTCAGTGTGCTTACAAGTTAAAATTGATAGTGAATAAAATTTGGTCCATTATGTTTATTTTCAGCTGGTGCAAGTAAGAAGATTCAGAGTATGACGTTTTCTACAGAGCACAGAGCAGATCTTTTGACTGACGCTCTTGTAAGTTAAAGCAGTTCACTCTTGACATGGCTGTACTGTTTTCATAGCCAAAAGAATTGGTGACTCACTGTAAATTTTAAATTGTCTGAATTATTTTTACAGCGATTTCGTAAGGAGTTCTCCGACTTTAAAGCAGGAAGTGAAGTTGTGAGTTTTGAATCAATGATATCTTAGCATCAAATTTATTTTTTCTGAGCCATGGGTGTTAGAAACCCTTTATTGGGTGTTGGGCTGGGTCTTTAAAAAGGGGGAGAGCTGTAGGGGTAGGGGGTAGGGGAGGGGAGAGGTGTAGGGTGGGGGAGTGGGAGAAGTGTAGGGGAGAAGTGTAGGGGAGGGAGAGAGGTGTAGGGGAGAGGGAGAGGTGTAGGGGAGAGGGAGAGGTGTAGGGGAGGGGAGGGGAGAGGTGTAGGGATGGGTGTAGGAGTGGGGGAGAGGGGTAGGGTAGGGGAGAGGGAGGGGGAGAGGAGGAGAAAAGGGGGAGAACAAGGGGGAAGGGGTAATAATAAGTAGTATCTGAAAAATATTATATTTACTTGATCTTGTTATGACTATTTTTCTTTTTAATTATGTTTTTTATTAGCGTTTCAATGCATACAAGTATCATTGGAGCGACACAAGGCTACCAGTAGTGTTAGAGGTAAAAGAAATGCATTATTCAGTAATTGAAATGAACCTTTAGCTGTACACATTTGTGAGAATTTGGTGCAAGATCAAGATAATGACCTCTACCTGGAGTGATAAGTTTGTGTATTTTCATTACCTGTTTGCTGGATGATGTATGGATAGTATGGTGAGAAGTTACATGTTAATCACTTCTGGGATTTAAAGGACTAAACATGATGTATTGATGCAAAGTTGTTTCTTCTTGGGAAGGTTACACCTTGTTCTTTGGACCAAATTGATCCTACAACAAGAGAAAAGCTGTGTTCATATGACTACAAGGATTTGGAAGGTGTTGTGCAGGTCAGTGGAGTGTAACACAAACTTTTCATTCAAATACATCTACCCCTCTTGTGCCACAGCTGGGTGTTATGCTCAGCTTAAAGATATGTACAGACATACATACATACATACATGCTTTAGTTGACCACTCCCCATGGGGGCTTTTCAGGGCCAATTCCCACCCATTCCACCCCAGGGGAGGACATCCACGACACAGTAATCTCGTATGTGGGAAATTAACGTCTCCTACCCCTAACCCTGCAGGAGACGGCGCCTATGGTTTATTCGTCCTTATCCGCGAAGACTACAATATCTATCCATTTCTTGATTATAGAGAGGTAGCAAACTCTCCTCTCTTATTTTAAGACCATGAGTATCAGTCTGGCTGGGGCTCGGACCCGTAGCCTGCAGAGCAGGCGTTCTTGTGGAGTTTGGGCAAAAATTAGGACTTTGGGCTTTCTGTTTTATTTTCCAGACCGTGCGTAAAATGGATTGAGGCAAAAAATGAGGAGGTGGGGTAGGGGGAGAGGAGAGAAGGGAACGCCTGCCAGCAGCACTTGAAAATTAAAAAAAACGCCCCCGAATTAGATATAACGAGTAATGATAATGGGCAAACAATTGGCCAATCAGGTGGCGTGATGAAAGTGGATTTTCACTTCGGTTGCTTGTCAAAATTTGTTGTTATTTGAAGGGAAATCACATGTGTCAAAATTTGTGTTCACATGTCCCCGAACGAGAATTGTCGATTATGCGGCTGTAGTTTTAAAGTTAAATACGGCACATACCTGTCATCAGAAAATTTATTCAGAGCATTGAAGAGAAGTGATGCTTATAGAGTAACTTTGTCAGACGTGTGTGCTGGAATTCGCATGGAACTCATTCAAAACAACGAACAGTTATCCGATCGCTGTTGCAATCTGTGTGCTAGAAACTTGGGACAGCTACATGCATTCATCCTTAAGAATGCAAATGGCCAATGCAAAAATAAGGTCCAAAAGTAATCAATACACTTGATATTTACCTCTCTCCTGTCCATATTTCTACGGTATGAGACTCGTCAATGATGATCACTTCGATGGCATCTTTGAGCTGAGAGTTCTTTCTAAGGTGACTCAAAAACCTTGAGGACAAAGCTTCCTCAGCTGAACCAAAGATCAAGTCAAATTTAGCAAGTTCTTCTACTGGGACACCGTCCGAAAGACTTGTTGCTTTTAAGCCAATTTCTTGAGCCACGACAACCTGGTTGTCAATGATGCTTTTCAGAGGGCAAACGACAACCATGCAACAGTGTTTCTTCGTGAGAAGCTGCTTGACTCGCACACCAAATCTAAAAATAATGCTTTTACCAAAGCCTGTTGGTAAGACCGCAGACACATCTTTATTTCTGGAAAGTTGATGTATGGCATCTTGCTGTTCTTGTTTTAAAACAAAGGTTTCTAAGGCATCAAAAGTAGCTAAAGAATCGTTCAACGCAAGATCTATCTCTTCTTCGCTAAAAGCCATGTTGGATGTGATACATAACAAACTGACGTCACATTCTGCTGTCAATAAAAAATACTGGAGCAATCAGAATCGCCCGTTCGTGAGCGAACGAGTTATTCAAATTTTCAACTACTGCTGGCTGGCGTTCCTTTCCCTAGCCCAAACCTCTCCCCCTCCCCCCACCTTCTAACTGTTTACCTGGCTCCATTTTAGGCGCAGTCTGGAAAATAAAACAGAAAGCCCAAAGTCCTAATTTTCGCCCAAACTCCACAAGAACGCCTGCTCTGCAGGCTATGAACCCGTGACCTCCCACACAACACAATCCGACACTCTAACCAATTGAGCTAACAAGGAGGTTTAGAAAACAAGCAAAACAAAGAACAAGTAAATTTTCTGTACACAATCATTTATAACTGCATGCCAATGTTTCTCTAACTGTTACTTTTAACCAAAAACATCAAGCATTAAAAATGTTATAGCTTGCAGATTAACACCCAATGCAGGCCACCAGATTGCTGAATTTTATGGTAAAATATTAATATTCTGGCCACATGCTTTCCTTCCTCCCTTGGCTACCAAAATGGTTGCAGCTTGAAGCACTGTCAGACTGATGTACTTTACATGTGGAATCTTTTCACTAAGTCTGGGTTTGTTTGATATTTCCTAGGTGTCAGACTATCCTGGTGGAATTGCCATTGTTTATGGTGGTTTCAGTAGACTTGTAAGTTGTGTTAATTTTTATCTTAAAAGAAAGAAAATAATAATATACATGCATTTTGTAGATTTTGAATGTTGTTTTTTTTTTATCTATTTCAGCATCTCTTTGCACTGGAACAGAGAGATGAGTTAATGAAGAAAATATCAGAATATGCGATTGCACATGTTGGAGTCTCACCCAAGTGAGTAGAGTAGATTTGTTAGCACAACAAATTATGATGAATAACTAGTCATCGATGTCTTCCAAGAGTTGATAGAAATTAACAGTAAACACAAACCTATGTATTGAAGTTAGGTTCTAGTTTTATTCACACATTACCTATGCTACTGTTTTTGCTCTGCACTACACTGTAATTGTCCAATCTTGGAATTGAATCTTGATTTGCAATTATTTCAGTATAGTCAGAAGTGTCTGGTATCAGGAGTTGCAATTTGTCTACTGGCAGCAGAAGAGGTGGTAGCAATTATGTACATGTTTATCTTTGCCCTTTTCTTACAGACAAAGAAGTAAGCCCATTACATTCGAGCAGTTTCAAAGCCACAAATTTGGAAAGTTCAGGTAAATTAAATGTTACTTTATTTCCACTTGCAAATGTTTGATGATTTGCAAATATATATTTGAAAGTTTCACAAACACTTTGTGGAGTGATGTGGAAATCCAGACTTTTCAAGCATATGATGCAATGAAATTTTATGGTATATAGTGAGATTACAATTATCCACACAATGTTATATCCGTACAAGATATTGGGAGAGCATGGGAAATGTATTGGCACAGTACTATATAGCATGGTGGACTTAAGTTCTAAACTAGCCTGGGTTGTTTTGTTGTACTCTTGGAAGAGACACCTAATCCTTGCAGTACTGGGGTGTAACCTTGCAATTGACTGGCATCTCATCCAGGCAGGGGGCAAAGTCTGTACTCAAGCCTATTGGCCCACCAGCCGGCAGCGTGAACCAACTAGAAGTATTACTACTCCCTCGTGGATGGGATGCTAGTCCGTTACAAGGTTACTCTTGGCATTTCATCTCCTGAGTTGAAAGAGGCACTGTGAGAGTAAAGGGTTTTTCGCAAGAACCCAACACATTGACCATGCAGCCAGGTCTCGAATGTGGATCTCTGGACCCTGAGTCCAGTGTACTGTAAAGGCCATCTCTCAGGGGGGAGTTGTAAAAGATGTACTCCTTCATGCTATGAAAACCAGGATGGACTGTGGCTCATGTTTACATCTTACATATATTATTTCCACAGTGAAGATGAGCATATTACATCGTTAGCTGAGTTCAAAGTTCAGAAAATTTCACCTAGACATCACGTAAGTTTTGAATGAAATCATTTAATATAGCATTACCTTTCTAACAATATCAATTGCGCTGAGTTCTTTACTTTTGTTTACAAAATGATTTCAGATATAATTTTAATGAATTTGAGCAATTGTGGTGACCTTTTAATTTGATGAATGATTTTTATGGTTAAGTGACAAGATTTACCTTACACTATCGACATTGCCAGTCCTAGCAGTATGTAGGACGTGTCATATATGAACCTCACAATAAACCTTGTTCACCATAGAATCTCTGTGGTAGAGCATTGGATCGCAACTCCGAAAGTCTGAAGTTCGATTCCTCCTGGGAACTCAGAATTTTTCCTTTGTCCCATGCTTGTGACAAGACAAAAAAAAAACATCTGACTTTCTCTAATTCTTAACTGAGCTCAAAACTCACCATCTTTCCTATTCTATTTACAAGATTTAACTTGTTGCTAGAGTAGAGGGCTACAGACTGTGGTATATAATTATGTTGTGGTTCAATTTTATCCATGGTTTAAATTTTATTTTCCATTGTTTCAACCTTATTATCATACATTACCATAACCAAGAACAATGGAAAGTAAAATTTAAACCAAGGATAAAATTGAACCACAACATATACATTATCCTCTCAAATTTTGAGCAATGATCAATGATCAATGATGGTGCTATATCAAACTAGCAAAAAGCTCTTTAGCCCTTTAACCCCTAAGAGTGGCTAACATCTCATTTCTCCTTACAATATCACCCATGGATCAAGCAAGAAGGTCACAAGAACAAAGGAGGAACTCATGATTGTTAAACAAATTCTCCTTGTCAGCACTTTAAGAAATGTATAAAGAACACTATGGAGAATATGCATTCTGATGTTTGGTTTAGAGTTAACAAGGCTCGTGCTATTGATGCTATAACAGTAATTACTCTGCTACCTTGTCACTGCTAATAATAATGACAATGATAGTGATATCAAAGGCAATAAAATATAATGTAACTTTGTTTTTTTTTTTTTTTACAGGATCCTGTTGTTCGCACATTGTGTTTATCAGAGACATGTATGATAGAAAGAGACCCTGCAACCTACATTATTGTTAGCTGTTCTCCTCTCTCTGATGTAAGTTTCAAAATAATCTTAATTTTGTAGTGGAGGAGGCAGTGTGGCCGAGTGATTAGAGTGTCGGACTTGTAATCCGCTGCTCCTGGGTTCGAGTCCCACTCTGACCACTGGATCTGTTTCACGGTAGCCCTGAGTTCAGATCCTTGGCCACGCTTGTAAATTGCCAACTGGTTTGCCTCCGGCCGGTTGGGTTTTTTGATGATGTTCTTAATGATGTTATGTTCAATTTAGACCATTTGTTTCATTTGTTTGCAAGGACCACGATGGAAACTACTGGCTGGTTCACCAGTAATTGTGTAATCCTATAAAAAGACTTTTTTTTTTAATTTTTTATTTACTCTCATGATCTGGGCTCAAAATCTCCCAACTGGTGACCATACATTTTCTCATTGGCTGGTGGGGAGAATTTGGTTTTATTTCCAGCCAGAGTCTTTTATTGAATGAGATGTTATTTACTCTCTTTTCATCATCTATCTGCTCAGGATTATATAGAAATGGTTTGGAAGATCCACATGCTGATGTTTCACTGTTTATTTTTCTTTTATCATGAGGTATTTGCCATCATCCGTTCAAATGATAATCCTCAACTGTTCACCATAGAGTTTATCCGTGGAGCAACAAAGAGGTTCATGTCAACTGTGAGGTACCCAAGCAAACATTTTTACAGTTGTTGTATGTAGCTCTTCACTTCCAAGATCTAAACACCAGTGCTTTCAACAAGACCTGGCACCCGCCGGAGCTCTGGCGGCTATTCTGTTGCGAGTCGCCAGGTATATTTCACTGCGCTCAAGTCACAGTCGCCACGCTAAGTCGCAATCAAGTCGCTCTCCGGCAGGTGTTGTACTGAGGTAGCCACCTATTTCAAATCTTATTGAAAGCACTGAACACTCTAAATAATATTACTCTTGGTAACTAGAATATTAAAGAATTGAACTTCTTAAATTTCTTTCAGGGACTCACTGTTGGCCAGTCTTCTTGATGGAGTTCGTGCCAGTGGTAACAGGGATGTCTGTGTTAAAATGAAACCCACCAACAGAGGTTTGCTAACAGTTTTAATTTATATGTATTAGTTGTACCAAAAAAGTTCTCAAGTGTAATGGTGCTCTTTTGCGTTTTGGAGTGTAAATGTCTTTGAAGGGAAATGTATGTAATCAAAGAAATACATCAGCTACAGAAGGTGCATGCAATTCTCTCTTACTACATGTGCAAACATGTATACTGCACAAAAAAGGTGCTTTTTACTTTTGAAAAATTGAGGTAAAAGTGATCATGACAAGTAATAATTAAAAAAGGTTGAATTTGAATTAATGTATTTAATTCTGTAGATAATTTATTATTAACTATTCTGTTGTGCAGGTTTTAGATTTGCACCAGTCATTTCAACTGTGGATGAGGAAGTTGAAAGTCAACATCTCAGATTTCTCGCAGTTCCTCCAGGTACTGTACATGTTTTATTTTAGAAGTATTACCTACACTTTGCCAAGGCCAGTAGACATCTTGATTTATGAAATTAAAGCTTTTGACTGAAAAATGTCAAACCTCTCAAAGCAAAGGAGAGGATAAGTGTCAGTGTCTGAGCAACTACACATGCCACCCCTACCTCAACCCAACAACAGTGAAGTGATAACAGGTTAGGGATTGATGTTTGGTCTGAGGGAGGGTGAGGGTTTAGTGTAAGCCATGACAAATGGTCTGATCAAGAATTAGATGCAGCACTTCTAGTCTTCTTTTTTTTTACCCTGCCTGGCCCTGAAAAGAATGTGATTTTTTCCAACTCTCCCAGAGTCTTGGTTTTTTACCTGACTGTACACATGCTGCTCTGTCAGTCTCATGAAGATCTCATTATAAATCCTCACTTAATTCTGGCCAGTTCATTTTTTGTTTTTTTTGCTCCAAGAATTAGGTGTTTTATCATTTATTTTTCCCTAGTGTGTATTTCTCTGTCTTCATATTTGATTTCCTCTTAAAAGTGCATAAGTGATAAAATGAGAAAGTATTTGTTGATCTTTCCTGAAGTGAATAGGTTAATGGGGCTTTCTTTTTTAAAGCAATTAAGTTATCCAAAACTGGCAAAGAAAATCATACAATTAGTACCACTGATTTCAGATCAACTGTTGCCTGGAAAATAATGATAAAAAGTCACAGTACAACATAAGTATTTATACACAAAGCCACAAGAATATGAAAATTAATTAACTTGAGGTAACTATGAATTAAATGCCCCAAAATTTTCTGGTGAATTGTATACATGGAATCATGCAGGGTTTCCTTGCAGAACAATCGTCACTTCTTTCATGTACTCCTGTACAGTGTATCTTAGTTTTTGTTTATGACTCCTGACTGTCTCTTCTCCTCAAAAATATTGGTGTTATTTTTATTACATCTATGTTTATGTTTTGTCAGCAAAATCTGGAGACATGTTTGACTGTCTTCTTTTCTTCCATACAGCAACATTTGCAGAAGCAGTTGAAAGATTTAATAGCAACATTCCTTACAATGGATTGCTCCATGCAGTCACACAAGATGTTAGTACAGTGGGTCACTTGATGTCACCTTCTGTGACATTCTCCTGTTTTGTGATCAACTTCTACAAGTCATGTAGTTTTACACTGTTTATGGTTATTAATCTCTGCAGGGCCTGTTTGCAGAAAACAAGGAGAAGCTCATTACTGGAGCAATCACTGCTCTTTTAGCAATGGAAGGTGAGATGCCCTCCCATATGATGTGTATAAATTGTATAGTATAAAACAATTATTATCCAATGAATACTTATTATGTACATAATCAAAACCATAACAAAATCCTTTAACATGATCGGTTTCCACCAGCACAATTAATATTTTGAGGACTGATTAGACAGTGCACACATCATGCTTGTAAATGGACAGTGCACACATTATGCCTGTAATTGGACAGTGCACACATCATGCTCGTAATTGGACAGTGCACACATCATGCTCGTAACTGGACAGTGCTCACATCATGCTCGTAACTGGACAGTGCACACATCATGCTCGTAACTGGACAGTGCACACATCATGCTCGTAATTGGACAGTGCACACATCATGCTCGTAACTGGACAGTGCTCACATCATGCTCGTAACTGGACAGTGCACACATCATGCTCGTAACTGGACAGTGCTCACATCATGCTCGTAACTGGACAGTGCACACATCATGCTCGTAACTGGACAGTGCTCACATCATGCTCGTAACTGGACAGTGCACACATCATGCTCGTAACTGGACAGTGCTCACATCATGCTCGTAACTGGACAGTGCACACATCATGCTCGTAACTGGACAGTGCTCACATCATGCTCGTAACTGGACAGTGCACACATCATGCTCGTAACTGGACAGTGCTCACATCATGCTCGTAACTGGACAGTGCACACATCATGCTCGTAACTGGACAGTGCTCACATCATGCTCGTAACTGGACAGTGCACACATCATGCTCGTAACTGGACAGTGCTCACATCATGCTCGTAACTGGACAGTGCACACATCATGCTCGTNAACTGATCTTAGTTTTCCTGATTACGGCTCTGACTTTGAGTTTTCATAAATGTAAAAAATGTTTTCAGTTTCTCTCTTAATAAGTTATAAGTTTGAGTTAACTTGTAATAGAAAGAAGAAAGGGGGCTCTAAAAAACAACAGTATTGTTTTGATGGAGCCACAGCTGTGTATTAAAATAATCAAATTCTCCTAGAGTACCTTTTTTTTGTACTAAAACTAGATTAAGTATGCTTCACTGCATGAAAATTTATTTCCAGATTGCAGGAAAATGCTCCTCCTGGGAGACTTAAGTTTTAAACATTTTCCCAGGGAGCATGCCCATGGACCCCCATAAAAGTTTGGGCCTTTGGCCCTCAATTTTATTAGGGTACCTGCCTACTCACAAGGCAGTGCCCTTCTACTTCAGAAGTTAATGATAACCCTGTATAGTAGTATTTTGTTTCTCAAATTTTGTGATAGTTTTTATTAAATGGTAACAAGGCTTAAAGTTATCCAACTCTGTTAGTAATCATGCTCTTAATGAACAAATTGCACTCCTGCTTTGCAGGGTTCCATTTTTTTTTTTTTCAATGACTCATAGGATTACAGATTGGATTGGACTCTACATATATCTTATTAACCAAGTGCGAGAGCCGCACTGGGAGAATATTGGCCTGAGGTCTTGACAGTATGGACCGAGCGCCGATATTCTTCCAGTACGATCCCGAGCAAGCTTGGTCAATAAGAGATTTATTATATGACTTAAGTTCAAAGGGACACAAATGTGGAAGTGCGGTATCATTCGGGACCATACGGGACAGTGCCCGGTCCAATTCTGAGAGAATATTGACTGGCAATAGAGCATTTTGATTGGTTGATTTTAGTTATTGGCCCACTGACTGCCTGAGTCTTGTAATAATTAGTCATATTACCATTACATACATTCTAAAGGTTACATTGATTCAATTAACATGTTTCTACCAGGTGACCAGAACACCATCTCTGTAGAAGATTTAGAAGGACAGTTTCAAGCTATTCGGAGACTTGTTGCTTCAAAAGCAGGATTTCAAGCCTTCACAACTCTACCCAAGTAAGATTATCCCATCAACTTGTGTTGATGAGATATTTTGAGATAAAAATTGTGATATTTTGGAACTTTTGAAACAAATGCATCCACTGACAAAATTAATGAATGAGCTACAGTACTAGCAAGCACTGTGTGCCTAGAACATGCAAACTATGTGACATTACAAACACCTAAGTGGAAAAAAAAAATGCTTGCACGTGAGTGTGAAATGCATGTAAAAAAAACACATAAAATCAGTCAACTAGAACATTAAAATGCGTTTACCAAGACAAGAGTTAAAATGTAACAAGACACAGATATTAATTTTGACTCAGAGTCGCTGACAGTTCAACTCGCCAATGCCAACTCGCCACATATAAAATTGGGTATAGACATCGGCGAGTTGGTCCTCAATCCAGTACAACTTATTAGAAGTTAAACATATAGAAAAGTAAACGATCTTTAGTAAAAAAAAAAGCAAAACAAAAAAAACATTTTTTTGTTCCAGCAAAGTTTATATAATTATGTTTGACTTCTAATAAGTTGGTGACCAACTCGCCGACGTCTCTACTCAGTTTTATACATCGGCAAGTTGGCATTGGCGAGTTGAACCGTTGGCAACTTGACTGTACTTTCTTGGTACAAAGCTGAGTTGTTTGAGTTTCTGTGCTGCAACAGGGAAGAAACGATGATTTCGAACTGTATCAGTTGTGCTTCTATTTAAAATTTCAGATAAGCTTTGTACAGTATGATTATAGTGATTATAGAGACCTTGTGTACTGTTATTCGTGCAAAGATAGACTCCAGGTATAACAATAATGATAATACTTTACTGCATTCAATGTGTAACAGGTTCAGAGACAAGCTTGGAGTTAAGGTTGTTAAAGCTCTGAAACGGAATGACGATGGGGTCACGCATGCTGCTATTGATATGCTCTGTGCTCTGATGCAGGTAAAAAATAGCTACACCAGCTTAGGTAGATGAAATTACAAGCATGTTTTTGTTTTTCCACGCATCTCTGGGGCTTGGGAGTGGTCATGTTATTTTTGTGGGCAGCTTTTTTTGTTCTACTTGTTTTTATTTGTTCGCACTACCAGTGTTCATAACTGCAAAGATCACACTTTGTTCCATATGTCTTTTCATGACGAATTATGATAACGTTTTCATTTTATGTTTTTACAGCCCATGCATGATAATTATGACCTCAGACAAGAACAGATGAATAAGTCTTCACTTGTGTCATCCAGGAAATTCCTTGGCACACTGTTAGATATCTTCACTACACATGTAGTAAGTGCTGTAAACTTTTCATAAGAATTTATGTGTGGGAGACATCTCATGTCTCTGGGTTGAAAGGTCTGGGCTAGGGCCTCTCTCTTCCCAAGAATCTAAATAGGTTCTGGCAAATTGTCAGGGAAGCCTGTGAAATGCCGGAAGGTAACCTTGTGATGGACTAGCATCCAAGGTTCCTGCACTCCTTGACTGAAAGTCCTTGAAAATCCTCAAATTTAGTTTTTTGTTTTCGATTAAGGACTTGAAAACCCTTAAATTTAGACTCAGGTATTTCGAAATTTCTGAAAAGTCCTTGAAAATAAGTGGAGATGAATCAAAGTCGAAGTTTTCTTTTGTATTCAGTGTTGAAAGTGTAAGTTTCTATCACAACAAATCAATCATGAAAACAAGTTTTCCTTCCAAATCCCACATCCGATTATGATGTTTGTTACGTGATTTTTACATATTTTGTACCTGATTGGTGCATAGAAAGTAACCTTGGTTACCTAGCCGATGATCACTCTGATGTGCATGCTTTGAAGTCACACTCATTGGACTTTTATCTGTCACTTTTAGGCAATGTTTTTTATTTCTATTAACTCCTATTTAATGCTAAAGGTCCTTGAATTTGAGAGCCAAGGTCCTTGAAAATGACCTAAAAAGTCCTTAAAAGTCCTTGAATTAGGTTCCTGAAAAAGTGCAAGAACCCTGAGCATCCCATCCAGGGGGGGAAGGGGGGAAGATAATCATGCTATGAAAATTACTGTGATAAGTGCCTCTCTTCACCCAGAAGTTTAAAATGGGCACTGCCAAATTTTCAAGGGAGTCTGATGACTAGGATAGACTGGCATCATATCCAGGGGAGGGAAGTAGCACTTCTAGTCCCACAATGCAATGGTAGCATCATTTTCAACCTAATTGTTTTATTTCTCTTTCAGAATAGAAGCACTGGGGCTCTTGTTGTTAGTTCACTTCTTGACTTCCTAACATTTGCACTGTGTCCACCATACAGGTACTGCAACAGTAAAAAATCAGTGGATGGCAGTATTATTTCAACCCGTAATATAGACATTTAAGGATTACTTATTAGATTAATCTCCCTACTGTTTTTATTTTTACTTTCAGTGAAACCACAGAAGGAACACAGTTTGACACTTTGCTAGAAATGGTCGCAGATCTTGGGCGCAATATTTTTAGGCTATTTCAGGTGTGTTCATGTAGAGTTTAATGCATTCAATGTTAGAGGTAACATCTGCTTTTGGAAAGAAAGGTGAGCTGGGGAGGGAGGGCTAAGACAAGGCTTTAATATTCTTGAAAGGGGTATTTTATGGCATGTGATTTATCATGGTAAGGTAAAGTCTGTTTACGAGCCTAGTGGCCCATTAGGCCGGTGCTTAACTCCGGTTTCTGTAGCATGAAGCGACTAGGAGTATTTCTACTCCCCCCTGGATGGGATGCCAGTCCATCGCAGTGTTACCCCCAGCATTAAATTGCTGGTACCCATTTAAACACCTGGATGAAGAGAGGCACTGTGAGAGTAAAGTGTCTTGCCTAAGAACACAACACAATGTCCCGGCCAGGGCTCGAACCCGGACCACTCGATCCGGAGTCGAGCGCACCAACCATGAGGCTACCACACCTCCACAGGGATTTATCATGAGTCTAATGAAATTGATCTTGTTATTAGATCAATTTCCAGTGGAGCTTTAGACACTGTTCTTATGTATCAAGGAGATAATGAAAATGTATTAAACCCTCGACTTCCATGAGCGACCAAGATAGAACTGCTCCGTACAATATCAGTATGATATCAAGCAGACAAGTGATGAGAATAAAGAAAAATATTGATTTGGGAATTACCAGTTGATCCAATACCAAATTATTTGAAGTAACGTTATAAGAAGTGTTTGTGAGAGTAAGGAGAACTGCCAAGGAGATCTTGAGAGTGGAATGGTTGAAAGGGAAGGTTACTGGCTTTTTTATGACACAATTATGCTTTCAAGATATGTCTGGTGAACATCTTCCCCATAATATTAGCTGCCTTTTTGTTAATGTGTGCACAGCAGGTACAAGTGAAAATTATACACAATAAGGATGCATTGTGCAGTATATTGCATGTACATTACCATAATGATAGTCTTTTCTCCTTGCCAGAATTAAGGGCCATGGGCTGTGATCCATGTACCTCTAAATTTTGATCAATGATGCCGCTATCTTAGATTAGCAAAAAACTGTTTAACCCTTCAACCTCTGGTAGTAGGAGCTGTGATGTGTAAGCGTCTACTTTCTCCAAGCAGTATCACCCAGAATCAAACATTATGGTCACGATAATATCCACCTTAAGCAGTCAGGACGGTAACGTCAGGGAAGACGTTGATTGAAAAATGAATTTTTACTTTCAGTTCGAATTTTGAAAATGGTTACATGTGTTTACCCTCTCATATGGTACCACACCTCAACTTCAGCATAACCTATAAATTAAAGTAGCATTGAGTTCCAAATGGAAATTAAAATAATTTGCCAGCGTGGTTTCTGTTCGCAGATGACAGAAATTTTTGGTGATTTCACGTTGTTGTTTTGCAAAGGATGGCTAATAAATCTACAAAGTTTTAAAATACCTGTGCTGAGCTATTGTTCTACCACCTAGATCTTTTGTTTTTCATGTCCTCATTACCATTGCCGTAGAGGTTTGCTCAAGGTCCCTAATATAGGAAATGATCCCAAAAGTTAAGAAGTTCTTTATTGTTATTCCTCCTTGTAAGCATCTTAGGGAATGTTTAGAGAACAGCATAGAGAACGTGCATACTAGTGTCAGGGTGTAACTGGATAAACAAAATGATTTTTATTCTTTTGTCTCCAATCAGCATCCATCTATGGCAATTGTCAAAGGAGCTGGCATGGTTATGAAAGCTGTTATTGAGGTGAGTGTTAAAACTTTTGTAGAGTTTAAAAGTTCATCAAAGAGGTCCCTAGGTGAAACTTTGAGGAAAATGATCTCCTGTATGTGGGCCACTAAAGTCTGTTCCACTCACATTAATTTTACAGCTGGAAAAGCTTTGTACATGTAAGTGGAGAATAGTGTGATCTAGCTCAAATATGATTTGTAAGAAGGAAACATATGAAAAAGTTTACCTAGTCTGCAATTCCATTAATTGATTATCATGAAATAACTTCTCTTGATTTAAAGAAAATTAATTCTCCAGAAAATAATCAAGTAGGGTCAAGTAGGCAGTGTGGCTGAGTGTTTAGGCTTGTAATCTGGTGGTCTGGGGTTCAAGCCCTCCTCCTTGCTACCCACTGGATTTGTTTTTGGTTGTTTGGTTGTTCTGAGTTAAAGTCCTTGGCTGTGTTTTGTATAAATTATTATTATAGCCAACTGGTCTACCTCCTGCAAGTTGGGATTTTTAAACTCCCACCAAAAGCCCTAATGGGGGAGTGTAGACATACTGCACATACGTACACATATACTTCCCCCCCCCAGTTATCTGACTTGGCCCAGTTATCTGACTTGACCCAGTTATCTGACTTGGCCCAGTTATCTGACTTGGCCCAGTTATCTGACTTGGCCCAGTTATCTGACTTGGCCCAGTTATCTGACTTGGCCCAGTTATCTGGCTTGGCCCAGTTATCTGGCTTGGCCCAGTTATCTGACTTGCCCCAGTTATCTGACTTGGCCCCGGCCAGACCAAGACTCAAGGTCTTAAAATAATTGAGAAGAATAATGCTACCTTTCTATAGCATCAAGTAATGGTTAGATATTCAAGTCTTCTTGAATAGATATGAATAAATGAAGGTCCTGTCACCTACAGGGTTAGGGGCAGGAGACGTTAATTTCCCACGCATGAGATTACTGTGTGATGGATGTCCTCCCCAGTGGTGAGATGGGTGGGATTTATTGGGTGGACTACTCGTATGGTTTGCATATGTTCCATTCTAGTCCTACCTTACTGTGGTGATGCAGTAAAACGGTTAGAAATAAAAATTAATTCGACTTGAAGATCAAGGTATCATTTTTTTTTAACTTGTATTCTACAGGAAGGAGATTCTGAGATTGCAGCAAAAATGCAGGATCTTGCTTTGGCAGAAGGAGCCCTTCCTAGACATCTCCATACTGCCATGTACACTCAAAGCACAGACAATAGACTACTCACAAACAGGTGAGATAAAATTATGCAAACAAAGGTGGTTTTCATTTGTTGTGAGAGTCAGCCAGAGAAAAAATTGTTGAGTCTTCCAAAAAGATTCAGAACTTAGACTTTCCAATGTCATCATCAGAATAACTGATGCTCTACTGCTGAGCTTCAAGAACTCCTCAGTGAGCCTGGGCCCTGTTTGTTGAAGGTCCCAGTAATTTAACGGGCCTGTAAAGCTGTTCTGTTTTCATTCAAGACGAGGGTTTCAAAAGTTTTGAGAATTATGCAATAAAACTATCAGCTGAAGAAACAAAATGGATTGGTCAGGGAGCCAGAACCTGCTTCTCTGTTCTTTAAATTTTGATTAAAAGATATAGCCTCAAGCCTGTTAATTTATTAGGACTTTTGGGAAACAGGTCCCAGGCCATGTTATAACATAATTTAATTTAATAACTTAATAAACATATGTAGGCAGGTAGGTAAGTCTTTACTCGAGCCAAGTTTCCCATCCAGCAGGCGTATATGGATGGGATGCCAGTCCATTGCAAGGTTACCCACCCGCATCTCACATGCAGTAGGTTTATAGGTATATGTGAAAAGTTATCTACAAATAATTTTTCAGTTTGCAATGCGCAATAGCTCACCAATGAGTTCTGTGTAGACCATGGTAGTGATTGAAATTCTGATGTTTGTATCTTTGGTGGGACTCAGATTTTTTCTTGCATCTCACAATTTCTTTGCAACGTATGATACATACGTGCCTATTTCTGTTTTCGATGAGTAATCTCAAATTTTCCTGTCTCTCTCAATCTTTGTAAAGATTATAATTATACAGTTTATATGCAATAACCAGCAGTAATTGCAACTGATGCAAACCTGTAATGTTTGACAGGGTAGTCCCATGCATGATTCTTCTGTTGAAACTGTAAGAATATTAAGATGGGGTTTTTTCGTGCTGGAATCCTCTAACCAATAGCTACACTAGTTCCACGTTCCTGGTACAAAATTCTTTGCTAATTCTAAGAAAGCTAAACTATTGTATGCTGTTTGCAACATAATTATGTCAATGACCTTGAAAAACAACAACAACAACTAGCGCAGTTACAGATGTACTGTAACTTAATTCGAAGAAAATGCTGTTGTTAAATATCTTTTGTATAATATTGGTAAGTAACATAGGGCCTGTGCTCAAGCCAAGGGGCCTTATACCAGTTTCCATAGTATGAAGCAACAAGTATTATTACTATTTCCCTTCCCCCCCCCCCTGGATGAGGTGCTAATCATTAAAGATTAGTAACATACCAGTAATTTAAATAATTATGTTCTTCTGAAAACAAGTTTGCTGACAAAAGTATCAGTACAGGTGCATGTGAGTCTTTGAGAAAGTGTATCTGCTTCATGTGTTTCTGCCACATGTATGTTGTAATCACATTGTTTTAGAATGGGACTTTTTAGCGTACAGTTGTTTATTAATTTTTTGTTTACATGATGCATCTAAAAAGTAGTTTTAAGTCAATTGTACTGGTTGTCTTATACCAGTATGTAATGGTTAAAGGTTAAAAATTACAAAAATTACAAAGTAATTGGAGCCTCTCCAAGTTTCAGCAGCATGGCTGAGTGGTCAGCGTGTCGGACTCGCAATCCGTCGCTCCCGGGTTAGAGTCCCGCCCTGACCACTACCTGAATTTGTTTCACGGTGGCTCCAAGTTCAAATCCTCGGCCATGCTTGTAAATAGCCAACTGGTTTGCCTCCGGCCAGTTGAGATTCTTGACAATGTTATGTTCAATTTGAATTATTTGGTTATAGCCCACAATGTAAACTACTGGGTTACCAGTAATTGTGTTAGCTATTAAAAAATTTAATTTTTTTTTTTTTAATTAACCCATTCGGAGAATGACAGTGAACTCCGTAGCATTTAATTTACTTTCCCTGACAGTTGGCCGACACGCATTTGAGCTCTTGTAGAATAGGGCTGTGAGAGTGATTTACATGTATCTTTTCCATGAAAGCAATACAGATATATCTTTACCAGAAACTGTATCCAGATCGTTCAATGCAGAGACTGCCCATATCAAAAAAATTAACTCAATGATAACGTTGATGGTGTATATTTTATTATCCAGCACCAATGTTATTGTTAAGTTTTTTTTTATTATTATTCTTTTTTAGAAATCCCTGCTGTTGAGTAAGGATGAATTATAAAATCAGTATTTAATTTTATCAGGACTGTACAAACTTTTTTTCTTCTGGTGAGTAATTGGGTGATTTTGTCTACAGACAGCTCAGCAGACACTTGGTAACCTTGTGGGTAACTGGTCATCCCACTGCAATGGGACTCCTGAAGAGGATCATGGTTAGAGTTTTGCTTCTACTGTAATTTAGTCTGGGAGCCGGCTATCATTGGCCTAGTTGTGGAAGGCCGGGGAAGAGAAATAAATTTGTACCAAGGGGGTGGGAGCAATGGTCAAAAAGAAAAGAAGGGATAGAGTAGGACAATAAAAATCTCATTATTCCCTGCCCCCTGCCCTACCCCCCACCATCCACTCTAACTCTAAAACAAACAGGGTCTCCCCCTCCCCCTCCCCCTTCTAACGCTGACTCATCCTTATAAGATGTCTTTACTGCAGGCT